ATTTCAGAGTCACAGTGAGCGATTAATGTATTAAAAGTCGGATACTCTGACCCTGAATCAGATCCCAGTTCAGAATCGTGTCAACTGGAGCCAACGAAACAACATCCGACAACAGAACTACGTCATGTTGCCCCTCGTTGCTTCGTTCGGTCCTTTACAACCAACAGAACGGAGAAAAGGAAATCCTGCAGAGGTCTGCGTCGTCCTGCTGTGCTCTGTATCTGTTCGTCACTGTTCTCCTCCTCCTCTTTTTCTCCCATCCCCTTTTCTGCCTATGTTTGAGGACAAAAAGGCTTCAGTCCACAAAGACACTGAGAGCTTGAAGGCCGAACAAGGAGCCTGTTGAGGAGGTGAGGACAGCAGGAGGCTCCAAGCCTTACAGGCCTGGATGGAGGGGGTCCATTCTGAGAGCTCACTGAGGGGAAAAGTAAAAAAAAAAAAAAAACAGTTTGGAGAGGCGGTGCAGGTCAGTTCTGACAAAAAAAAAAAACATGGTGCTAGAAGTTTTGTTTTATTATAGATGAATTGAAGCTGCAGCCAGTCGAGCTTATTCTCATGATGTTGGAGGCAGGTCTGTTTTTCAGTTGCAGATGTCAAAACTTCAGCAAAACCGTAGGAAACAAACCTGAGGGATTCAGAGAAATCAAAACAAGAAACATTTCAATTTTTAGCAGAGTAAATATCAGGTCATTTGAAACTTGACTCATGATCAGATTTACAAACACCTTCAGGGCTACCACAGCTTTTTTTTGTTGTTCTTTTTCTTTTATCCTTCCGTCCTTTATGTGAATAGAGGAAGTGATGTGTCCATTCATCCCCCACTGGGAAGGTAATTATCCACAGGGATGGAAATCAGCAGGCTGAGCTGCCAAAATTCCCACCACAAAGAAACAGAAACCGGGAGCTGTTTTTCCTCTTAAGGTCTCTGAGCCATTGCCACCTGCCCAAACTGATCCATCCGACCATCACTGGGAGAGATGATCCTTGAAAGAGGTCACAACGTACTGTTGATTTGGGCTAATTAGCACTGCTGTTTTTAATCACAGTTTTATCCTTTGATTATCTTAAAACGACACGAATCAACTCAAAACTCCCAGTTATCTTGTTTCCTTCATCTTTTACTGTAACTCCATGTTTTTATTATCTCCGGCTGGTTCTCTCAAAGCTGTTATCTCTGACGTTTGTGGCTGTAATTTGCATCCAAAATCCAAAGTCGAAGCAGTCGGATGTTTATGTCATCTGGATTGTTTGCTTCTCTGTTTAAATTTAAATTGGTCGGCAGCACCAGCGAAAACCAGGCACAGCTGGTTTCGGTTTGAGAGGAGAGTACAGTGACGCTCATTTATTCTTCCAGCCTGCAGGACAGCAGACGATAAGGATCCCAATCGTTTGACGGATGCTGAACTGTCTCACCCTTTTCTAATATGGTTCTACAAGGGAAACTTTCAGTGCGGATGAGATCGAATGAGAGCCTGATCCCCTTTTAGGTTTGCAGGGCGAAAACATTCCTCTCTACCGTGAGGTTTTAAGATTTTAATAAGTTGCGAGGGCGGTGTAGGCTGTTTTTTTTTTTCCACTGCAGTGTTGCAGTCGGCCTTGACCTGCTGTATCCTGACACTGGTTGCATTTGCGTTGCACAGAGTGCCACCTCCAAAGATTGCAGCTATTGTCAACTTACTTTGCCACGCAAGAGAAGGCAACACTGAGCTTGTGTCACTGTTGTCGTCATTATGCAACTTTGGCAACAACTGGAAGGAAGGATGGCGACTGAATGGTACATACGGGGCAAAGGGCTGAAAAAGCACAGAAGACCATTGACCAGAAGACACAAGGGCAAGACAACGTGGTAAGCTCATGTACCGTCCTGCAATCAACGGCTGACTTTACATTTTTGCTTGCCTGTTTTTCAAAAATATGTGGCGCTAGTCTTGTAGGAACAGGAAATTGCTGGGACACATGAGGCAACAAGCATCCATCAAAGCAGCACCGTTCATCTTTCAGCTCGGAGATGCTTCTCAAATCCAAAGCAAACCGTCCCGTCGTCCTCAGAGCAAATATTCAGCAGGAAGTGACAAACGGTTGAGTTCATCCAGAGCCACATAGTAGGAAAACTGCTAATTAGTAGCATAAAATTAGCAGCTCAGATATCCAGTCCATTGTTAGCCTGGTCATTCAGCTAAAAAGCAGCCAAAGACAACAATCATCCTCAGCACATTCCTATCCGATCGGAGCCTTCTGTAAATAACACCACAGCTCTGGAGGCCCTACATTGTGTCTTTAAGTTAGTGTTAGTACACAGCACTGATTTTCTCTTCTTCACATCGTGATGAAATAACATTCATTTCATCACAACAAAGGGCAAAGAATTACCCAACACACCAGTCTGGTGAAAGTCATACCAGCTGCTTGGTCAGCTTATTGTCATGGCTCAGACATGCACCTTCCCATTTGTCCTGGCAACAGTATCAGTGTCTTCAGTGTTGGCGACGACCTCGCAGGCCAGCGTTTTCTTAACTGTGTCATGCTTTTTTTTTCTCGTTAAAAAAAAAAGAACAAATTGACAAATTGTTTACCGAGAGTAAAAATCTCCTTCTATGATGTGAGGCCTTCAAAATAAAGATGAACATGAAACCTAAACAGTACAGCTCTGTATCAGAGGATTCACACCAAGTTGGTTTGTAATCTTAGTTTTGAATCGTTGCCGAGGGCAGCTGAGTCCAGATGTTTGAGCTGGAAGTGACGCTTCATCACCGGGGATCATAACGGATGCAGGCAGCTCGGGTTAGTTTGCTTTACTCTGCTGCAGAGCGGATGGAGACGACAGAAATGTTTGTTTTTTTGTCGGCTGAGGAAGAACTAAAAGCAGACAATAGAAACTAAAGATATTTTTGAAACGGTAACATTTTTAGTCTGTCTGATGGGGACAATGAGCCGACTGACACTGACCTGGGCGGTCGTCCGGCTGCAGACTCTTCTCCTCCACATCTGGACTGCTCAGGCCACTCGGAGGCTCCGTCATGCTGCTGGTACTCGGAGAGATGACCGGAAAACCTGAAGAGGAGAAACAGTTGGCCACTCTGTCTGCAGCTCACTCTCCTCTCTCTCTCTCTCTCTCTGTGCTTGATGACATCAGGGGATGATGAGCAGAGAGAAAGTTGTTATTCCTCCACATCCACTGAAACAACAAACTTTTCTTTCACTCCTTTATTTTTCATGCATACACATTTCTTTGCTTATATTTAAGCTGAAACTGAAGGTCCAAAGAGAAACCTTTAGAGACCTTCAGAAAATGTGCAGCACTTTACAGGCTTATATGTAAGTCTGTGAGTAACAATGTTCAAATTTCACTTTTTGGAACCGTGATAATCACCTGCTGTGTTTATTTTCGGGAATTGAATCCATCCGTTGTGTCAGAGAGAGTTGTAATGATTACTTTTTCTCAGATTGCAACACAGGAGACAAGAAGATGACAGTAATCATGACTTTTTAAGCGTGAAACCCCCGCCCCCCCAAAAAAATCCACTGTGCACCATTTCACATTTCCGTTACGCCGAGAAACGTCCCGAACATCTGCAGATGTTTGACTGTTTGCTGCCTGAGAGCGACATCTTCTTCTGTGGATTAACACACAGCTGATGGAGGATTAGAGGCCACGCTGAAAACTGAATTAAATGAGCGCTTACATAAGAGGATTAGCTGCAGCTCACGAAGCACTGCTTGGCTTTGGGGTCGCGCTCCACCGACAGGAGCGAATACAGTGTTTGCTTTGCTTCAGAGCCTTTCAGCTTTAAAGGTTTCCACTCATTTGGCCCCGGGGTTTGGTTTAAAAATGGGGCCACAACGTGTGCTAGGTTCGAGCAGCAACTGTTGCCGCACGCCAATCTGGGAAAGGTTGAAAGGATCATTTCGGAACAATCCGACGTCCATCGTGCTGCAAAAAGACACACTGCTAAACAGATTGAAAATTGAGGTCAGCTGCCAGAAGTCTTCCAATGAGTGGACATCATAGCAGACAACATCAGAATGCAAAGCTCAGAGACAAAACACCCAGGAGCTCCACCTCAGCCTCCAAAGGCAGCAGTTATCAATGAATGCTAAGTTAATTACAGAAAAAAAATATAAAAAAAACTGATCATGTATGGATTGTTGGAAAAGTTTAAATGAAGACTTCTCTATCAGAAGAATATGGCAGCAAGATGCTTCCAGAGGTTCTCATCATTATCTAACGTGACACGCCTGTTTTTATCCTGAACTTTTTGCGTATTTAGTGGTAGGAATTTATTTTTTCTGTTCTGTCCGGGGATTTTTGATTTGAAGAGCTGATTCATCAAAAAAAAAAAAGGTTTTTGCTCTGTTTTCTGCTCTGATTGAGGTGTCAGAATGAAGAAGTCCAGGGTTTGAAACCATTCCTTATAACCAGTGAGGTGTGTCTCTCTTTTTTTATTTCCAGTTCAAATTCAAAAAGACTTTGTTAATCGTAAAGGGAAGTTAAATTCGCTAAATCAAATCAGGAGGTCACGGACTTAGAATGTATATCCAAACATCATAATGATTTTTGAGGCAATAATTTGTGAAACCTTCACATTTTTTTAGATAGTTGGCTAAAATACATCTTGATCTGGAAAATGTTTTGGCTTATTGTATTATAAAATCCTGACTGAAATTGATAAGAGGTGCAGCGGTGAGACTCACACAGTTGCAAAGAAATTTTAAAGAACAGAAACAAACAAATAAAAAAATAAAAACTGGACCAAACTCCCCAACTGAACAGAGATATAAAATACCTAATTAAAGAGTAAGAAAAATATTTCTATAGAACTTGTGTCTGTTTGGGAACAACAGCTGACAAAGACAGAAGTAGAAAATTAGAACCTGTTTGGTACATCTGGGGAAGCATAACGTAATTGAACGCCTAACAAGCAAAAACATCTGTAGACTGTAAAAAAAGAAAAAACACACACACACACAAGTACACAAAAAACCCCCAGAAACAATAAAGATATATGTTAATTCTTTATTTCATCCATTCAGATTAGAAATGATAAAAGAGAATATTAGAATGCCCACAATTTTCTTCTCTCATCACAGATTGGGTTCTGATTCAGCATCGCATGGTTTTTCTCCCCAAGTCAATTACGGCAGCAAAGACAAGTTAAAAATACCTCTGTACAAATACGTCTGGATAGTTCATCTGATTCCACGTACAAAAATAAGTTCTAAGTGCTTCACACACTTTTAATACTGTCTCTGCTTCGGCATGTTCACAGCTCGGACGCCAACTCGTGTCATCTGATCTGAAATCTCCACAAAACCTTCAGTCCAGTAGAAGAAGTCAAAGTTAAAACTGCTCCTGTCAGCAGCCGCTTTTACTCATAAGAAAATAAAACAACAACAAAAAAACCACAAGATACCCTGGAGCAATTTTTTTTTAACTTCTAGCCTATCATAAAACGCTGTGGAGGTGAATGAAGGCCAACTCCTGGATTTGAAAGGTTCCAGAGAGGGAGGTGAGTTTTAACTAATGCAACAGACCAACGCAAGAAAAAAAAAACGCTCAGTCTGAAAATACGAACGCTGAAAAACAATATCAGAAATGAGACGACAAATTTAATCCGAATTAGGGGCTCGGACGTTTTTACGCTTGGAGGAAACAAACCTGCAGAACAGAAGACAACACAAATGAAAGGTCTGCTTTTAAAAAGCTCCAACAAACTTTGCAGATTTACTTTGTGTAGATTTGTTTAAATAAATACAATTGTTAATCTCTGTTACATCCTGCGGGTGCTGATTGGTTGTGTTGGACGGAGTCAAAAAAAGGGGGGGTGGAGGGGTCAAAGGTATGCAACAAAATAAACCTTGTTTAAAAAATAAAAATAAAAAAATTTGCAAATTCTAATTTTAGTTCAATCAGAATTTCTGGGAAAGTTTCTGCATGGGAAAAGCACCTCCAATGAGATACAGTCATCATCATGATCATCATCATTGGCACAGCAGGTGGAGCTTCCTAACTCTAATGTCTTGGTTTGAGAGCTTTTTCTAAAAGCTGAACAGAAAAAAAAGATGGCTTCAATTTAAAATCAGGACTTCGCTGTGAGTTTTACTGACATAAAAAATAAGAATAAGCACCGCTAATTACAGATGTTAAAAAAGAAGAGTTTACCATCTTCTTTTTCCATTTATATTATTTGCCTCAAACGTATAGAATTGGATCAGATTTTAAGATCTGAAGAAAAAGCTAAAGCTAACCCAAAAGCCATTGCAATCACCAGTAGAAGACACTCAGAAAACACAAGTCTTGGTTAGAGATAAGCCACACTGTACAAATCTGACCAGAAAACGCCAATCAGCCAATCAGAGGCAGTTTTCAGCATCACAAACCAAACTGTGGATGAGTGGACAATTCGGATTAAACGAGGAGCAGAAACAGGCGACAGGCGAAGAGTTGCTTAGAAGCGACTGACGAGTCTGATCAGGTTTTCAGCAGCAGCTGGCGATCTGGGATGAGACTGAAAGAAGTTTAAATCTCCCTGTCTGATGACAACAGAATGCCGCATTCACACCAGTCCACTTTTTGGTTTTAGGAAAGACGCAATCAGATTTGACTTCTTGTCAGGTCGCAGTGTTTAGGTGTTTCCAAACTGAATCGACCTTTTTGCGGGTGAGCGAAGCAGTGTGGCGCGAATGCAGCTCCGCGGTTTAACTCAGCGCCCAGAAACAGCAGCTTTAGAAAACGCCGTATCCGTCAGTGTGGCGAGCCGCCACGGCGAACGCGGGGTAGCCCTCGTAAGTGGCGTAGGCGGTCAGGTCCTGACCCAGAGAAACAGCCTGCTTCAGCTGGGAGACCACGCCCGATGACCCCGGGCTCGCCAGAGCGTAGCCTACAGGGAGACACGTAAGAAAAGACACCTTATTATTCGCAAGCTCTGCAAGTTCACATGTGGTCCTTTCTTGTAACCACACGTGTAATCTGGTTCTGGTCACACGCTGAGAGTAAAGTGGGTTCTGTCGCTGCTTTAGCGAGAAGTGAGAAGTTAGTTGGACTTGGGTACGGACCTTCACATACCTGGGAAGGCTACCGAGGCCGCTGCAGTGGCACAACCTGCGTCAGCAGCGCCCTCCGTCTGCAGGCCGAGCGTCTGCAGGGTGTGTTCGGCCGCGTGGACCTTGGCTTCTTCCACAGACGCACACAGTTTTGCAGGGGTGAAGGGATGCCTGCAGAGAGACGCACGAACACAGATGAGCCCAAAGTGGACACAACTAACCCATTATTTAAGTTTAAATTATAAGTTGTCATTTTCTGTCCACTTTTTAGCATTCTGAAAGAAAAAGTTTTTGGAACGAGTTTCAACTCAATTCAAATATTGACTAATTTTATTTAATTTTCTAGTTCAATTTTAAATGGCAAATGGTAAGCCCTCTTGGAATATTTCATTTGGTTCAAAATGAAATATGACAAACCGAATTAGGGGATGAACTCCTGCCATTGTTGCCACCATCGTCCCTCAAATGTCCTACATGACCACTAAAAATGCAAACTCTCATAACCCAATCAGCAGTTATTCAAGGATTAAACTCTGGCACAGCGTTTCTGGTACAAAACCCAGTCTCCATTTGACACTCGAGGAGTCTCATCTTTAAGCTTTTGGCCACTGTTTTCACAAGGCAGCAGTGACTCTCAACCAAGAAGAAGAAGCATGTAATGGCATGAACATTTACCTATTCAGATGATGACTAGACATTTTCAGTTTAACCTGTCCACTTCCTGCCATTAGATCCATTTCATCTCCAGTTATCAATCGACAGCATTGCACTGCCTTTACTCATGTGGAAAAAAGAAAATAAATCATGGAAATTTCCCGACTTACAAAGAAGTAGAATAACAGTCTCCTTATCTTATACTTCGTCCACCTGCTGAAAGGTTTCCCCAGCTGATGCTTTTTTAAATGTAGATTCATGAAATGGAGCAGAGGTCTGGGTTGCTGCTCTAGTGGAGCTGCCTGTACTCACACGTTGGGGTACTGTGTGGCCAGAGCCGGGATGGTGATCTTGTAGAGAAACAGCTGCCGCTGGTCCGGACTGATGGCCGAGTGGAGCTGATAGACGGGCTGACCCCAGTTGTTCTTCTGACACAGCTCTTCCAGAACCTGACGGGAGCACAGACAGGTTGGAGGTGTTCGCCTTGGGAGAAGAACTTCCAAGTTCCACATAGTCAAGGATTTTCATAACTGATGCTCTTTTGAGAATGAAGAGCCAGAGGCTTTCAGTTGAAGAGTCATGTAGACATTACAAACGTTTCGCTCCGTTGTTCCATTACCTGAGTCGGTGGTTTGATGCCGGTGCCCTTGAGGCTCATGGCAGCCGGGTTCATCGGTGTCAGCTCCATCCCCGGCAGCAGGTCGTACAGCTTTTCCTCGGCCTGCTTGTCCCCCTTCAGCCCGTAGGAGGTGCTGCTTCCACCCCCTCGCCCCATGGCTCCGCCCCCGGCTGCGTAGGCCAAGTAGCCCCGCCCACCCAGCCCTCGGACCCCCGCCGCCCCTACAGGTACAGTCATGTAAATTTCTACAGGAGATCGGAGAGGCAGTAAATCAATCAAATCACCGGAAATCAGCAGGGTAGAAGAATCACACAATTAATAAATCACAGCAAAGACTGACAACAAAGGTAACAGCTAAGTGATTTCTTGTGAATTTTGACCAAACTTCAGCTGATTCAGAGGATCTCACAAGATTCCTACCATAAAATAGTCTGATTTTTAAACCACGTTCATTACATCCACATGATTCAGGAAGATCCACCCCTCCGCGTCACATCTGCCACAGGTGCAACTCAAAGCAAATAAAGAGATGTGCTTGAAGTTAAATCCAAATGATCTGTACCAGCAGCTGAGTTGCGATTGGACAGTCTGTGTGGAGGGGCGGAGCTTCAGCATCAGATTAAGCAGCTTCTGCTGTCAAGTCAAGATCTGAAAGCAGATCTGCCTCCATCATGTTCTCCAGTTCACGTGAACAGAGACGGCGTTCTCACCTCTGACCGACGGCGTCCTGATCAGACCCCTTCCTCCCACGTGAGCTTTGGTTGCTGGGAAACGGAACTGACCGGGAATGGCGGCGTAGGCCTGCGGGGCATAAAACACGGGAGCACCAAGGTACGCCGTGGTGGGATCATACACCTGCGAGAAACAGAGGCAGAAGAGAAAGTTTGCCTTTTATATTACGACCTCTATTGTTGGAGCTAACTTGAATTACTTTGGATTTTGTTACACTTGCTTTACTTTATATTTTCAGGTTCTTTGCAACAACTTACAACACCCAGAAACAAAATGTATTTTGCGCCCCCTACTGCTCTATAGAACTCTGGTGAACAAAAGTATCGCTAAAAATGTTTTCCTGTTCGAAATGGTTTGGTTCCTGTTCCTGGGTTTGGTGTTACTATCACTGGTCCAAACTGGCCACTGGATGAAGACGTTTGACGTCCTATGATTTTTTTATTTTCTTATTTATTAATTTATTTTTGTCAATCTCGATAACACTGCGGAACAGCAACACAGAGAGACTCGGGGAACTCAGAGTTCAGCTCATTATCAGTTCCTTATCTCCTGTTTATCTGTGAATCAGACTCAGGTTCAATTCAGTCTATTTTATGGCTTTCGTGTTCACGATGTTCCCACTCGACTTTCCAATGAAGGGATTTTCATAAGCTAGATAACAAACAAAACAAAAAAAAGCCATATTTATTAAGATTTTCAACTTTAATTTTCTCTTTTCTTTAACAAACTAAGTGTTGTAACTATTTCACTACTTTCTGAAACAATTTGTTTCTCTCAATCTCTTGTTGTGTACACCTTTGATTTGTAATATGATTTCTGTATTAGTCTGGATTTATCCCATCATGCATTAACTGTCCTGAAAGAAATTTTCTATAACTGTCACATAGATGCATTAAAATCAGATAAAGCTACAATAGCGACAATGGAAAACATCACAACACTGCGCTAAGGTTTGATAATTGTCAGTAGTTATGTGCTGCAAGGTAAATTCCTGTTGTAATTTGGGATATTGATGCTCACACTCCAAGTTGGTTCTCATTTCCTTACTTACTGTAGATTCAGTTCAAGGCTCCTCTGTGCTCAAATTCCTTCCTGAATATAACTAATTTATAACAATGTCTGTTTGAATATTACAAATCCTTTTTAGTATTCAGGTAAGAGCTTTCAGTTAAGACTCTGGGACAGTCCCACCTGTCCCAGAGTATAGGCCGTGTAGTCGGTCTGCAGAACCGAGCCTCCTCTTCCTCCTGTTCCTCTGGTGTATCGGACATAGCTGTCCTTATCCACTGGCTTGGCCAGAGTCACCTCAATAGGAGAGCCGTCCACCACCTGCAGGCGGAGAGAGGAGTGTTTATTTTGCAGAACATATTTCTTTTCCCTGAGACGTTTTGGAATATACATGCAAACAGCAGAGAAATGAGGTCGGGCAGAGCTGACCTTCCCGTTGAGCGCATTCATGGCCTTGATGGCGTCCTCTCGCTGGCTGAAATGTACGAAGGCGTAGTCTCTGATCTTCTTCACTCGCTCCACTGCACCTGCAACGCAACAATGCCTTTGCTGGTTCTCATTTGAACACTTTTCACTTTCCTGGAGCTCCACCCACTCAACATGCAGTATTTATGATGCAAAGAAACCCGCATGTTGCAAAAAAAGAGAAAAATATCTTCAATAATTATATGAATTTATGGTAATAATGACTTATAACCTTAATTAATTGCTTATTTTCTAAATAGAAAACATGTCAATGCTTTTAAAAAGTTTTAAAGTTTTGGTTTGAAATTTTAAATATATTTTTTGGTTGGCCTTTACATCTTTTTACTAGACGTTGAAAATTTATTTTCACTCTCTTTTATTAAAACTTTTGTTCCTGAATGATCCAATCAAATTTTTATATATTTTGTTACGAGGCAAAATATGTTTTGTTTGGAGTTTTTCAGCTAAATAACATTTAGCTATTTTTTTTTTGTCAATAAAGTTTTGTATACTAACCTGACTGTTAGAAGCTTGAAACTAACATTAGAAGAGTTTAAGAAGATGTTGTCAGCTGCATTTAAGGACAATCTGAAAGCAGAGAGTCCGGTTATACCTGGTTTCAGGCTGTTGAATTCCCTCTCGATGGTTTCTTCAGTGGTCTGCAACATCAGGTTCCTCACATACAAAATCTTTACGGTTGCCATGGTATCCTCATCAACCTCCACCTCAGGCTCCGCCCAGTCCACCGCGATGGGATGGCCCCACAACTGGATCCGGCCTGAAGGTTTGACAAGGTTTGTTGTTTAGAGCTGGATATGGACCAAGATCTTCAAAATGGGTGTCTGTGATTTTACAGAAAAACTCTGGAAACAGTGACTCCATCTTCAATATCTGCTCTCTTATCATGAGAACCCATCATCAATAAAGTTGCCTTTGATTGGCTGACACTTGGACAGCTGAAGACTTTGACTGTTTTTATGATGTTCTCTGTTGGTTTGTTATCAGCTTTGTGCCGGTGTGAGATCAACCTGCATATTTTCAGCATCTCGAAACTGAACACACACCCATCGATTTGAAACATCTCTTGTAATTTAGAGACAAAACTGGCCCAAGAAACTGCATGGATCTCCAGAGTTTGCTGTCTCTACCTGGCAGGAGTTTGCGTCTGGCCATGGCAGCTGCCCGGTGGCTCTCGTACTCGACAAAGGCGAAGCCTCGGTTCTTGGACTTGTCTGCAGCGCTGGGGTACACGATGACATCCACAACGCCGTCCGTGACTTTTCGCATCTCCACTAGGATCTCGTCGTGCTTCTTGGTTTTAGGAATGCCCCCGACAAACAAACGGCAGTTGTCCACGCTGGCACAGACACCGAGCAAGCGACCGTTCCTGGAAGACGGAGAGAAAACCATTGTAGGAATGTCAATTTAAACCAGTATTCTGATCTACGCAGATGACATCTCTCTGTACTTGAACAACAAAGCAGCAGTCTCTAGAAGAATGCGCTTACGGTCTTAGACTGTTCATGAAACAGTTTTCTTTGATCCAGTGCTGTTATGTGATCAACTAATGGTGATGTGAATTGGTCTGGTCACATAAAATGTAAAGTGTTTGGTCATTTGATAGTATAGTTACTCTGGTTAGTGACATGTAAATTGATAACATTCAGGCCTAGATGAATGGTTGGCTCAGATTTTTTAGGGTCATGTGCTAGCAATAAGGTAGTTTTAAATGAAGATGGGTGTTTAAAACAGATAATTGCAAAGGTTGTCGTTGCAGGTGAAGAACCACTCTGACCTGATCTCATAGTTGTTAAGCTGCTTCATGGCTGTCCTGGCTTCCTGTTTGTTGGTGAAGGTGACAAAGGCATAACCTCTATTGTTCCCATTGAAGTCCATCATCATCCTCACCTCATAGATCTTTCCAAACTGATGACAGGGGCAGAGAATGCCAGAAGATTGAAAAAAAGCAAAAAAGTGACATCAAGGGACGTATTCCTCACATTATTCCATAATGCCTCACCTTTTCACACAACGGAACCAGTTCATCCTCAAACAGATCTCTCGGGAGTTTCCCCACAAAGATCTCACTACCTCTCTCAGGCGGTGGTCCGTCCCAGTCAGGCGGTGGGCCACCATACCGCCGCTGACCGTTCTCCTGAAGAATAGAACCCCAAAATGAGGAGTGGCATGGGGAGAACTCCCCTCGGCACTCAAGTTCTGTCCTTACCTGTCTCAGCTGGTATCCGGTCTGTTGGGTGAGCGCCCGAAGAGCGGCCTCTTTCTGCGTCCCCGCCAGCCCGTCCTCACTTCCCTTCTGATTGGATTCCATTGGGTGTGATTAACAGCAGGTTGTGAATCAGGGAAATTAGGGGTGCTCACTGCAGAAACGGACATAAAGCAGGTTTCAGTTCTGATGTTCTGGTGGTCTGTGAGAGTTTGGGTGGGTCACAGGACCACAATCAGGCTGTCTGTGATGATGGTTGTAACCTGTATTTGTTTCATTAAAACTCTTTTTATAAACCCGTTTAGATTCAAAACATTAAAGCCTTATTTTCTTCTTCAGAAAGTCAAATTCCTGCAGCTTGAGAAGGAATGTATACCTGACCAAAACAAAGTAGAATTTGCAGCCGCAGCTAAATGAGTTTATACAGAAAAGCTTGTAATATCATCTCAAATAACTTTCCAGGAATCCTTGATCATCTGAACCTGCTCCTCACTGAGATGCACTTTTTCAACACTTTACCAAATAGTTTGTTTCATGTAAAAAAAAGTAAAACTGATTAATATAAAGAGTTTTCCCACAGTCAATGTGAAATACAGAAAAATTAAGCAGAAAATAAATCGTTTTAACTATAAAAAAATACATATATATTTCAAAAGCTGCACTAAACTGTTATTAAACACAAACAGCTGATGTTCTGGCCCTAATGACTCGTTTTAGACGTTCGGATCTCTTGAGTTCATACCTGCTATCAACTTTTGTAAATTTGACTATCCTAAAACAGTTCGCGTGTCATAGCTCAATTTTCTTGACTCTTTCTTTTTCTGTTTCGTTTTTTTTTTCTTTTAAACAACCATGACTTTATTAAAGGTGGACATTTATGTAAAACTAATGAACAGAGGAAACGGGAACAGGTAAAGCAGGCTGCCAAGAGGTCAATAGCAGCTTTGGAGGAGGCCAGATACTTGACAGGAACACAATGGCCACTGTAAGAAACGGTGGCGGCAGCATCATGCTGTGGGATCAGTTTCCTGCCCATGAACATGAAGTTGTTAAGTTGAATCAATTCCAAAATCAAAGAAAGTTTTGACAAAACTTCCAGGTGTGTGCTAGACAGCTTAATTAGTCCCAGTATATATTCAAATTAGGAACAGGACGACTTGATATGAGGGAAAAATGTATGTTTTGTAAGGGCTGAGCCAAAGTCCAGCCCTAAATGTGACTCTTAAAAAAAAAAGTGAACATTTTGTGGCCGTAATGTGACATATTGATTCCTATCAAAGACAATTGAATGCTGAAACTGAATTAATCATTAGATCCACTGTTTGTTCCCTCTTTTCTTCTCTTTGTCTCAGTCATATTTGGTGGAACCGCCTGCAGCCCTCTGTTAGATCAACTCATGTCCCTGCTGAGACATCATGTACTCACAGGTCTGCACCTCCTCGCCTTGTTTTTTCCAATGTGAGCGGCAGATATGAGCGGCGGGGAGGTCAAGGTCTGCAGGCTGATCATTAACAGAGACAGTGGACAGCCTGACAGTCCGTCTCACCGTCCCACAGGGAGGAAACCTGCCACAGCCTACATCAGGTCGAGCTTTCGCTGAATTTATTCAGCAAATAGCGTCTCAAACTAGACAGAACGCCTCCTCCCACCGTAAAAACGCTTGGCTCGTATAACTTGAACCAAAACACTCCAGGTCACATTATGAAGATCTGGGATGTTGTGATGCTTTTATTACATTCATGTAATAAAAGCATGAGTTTTTTTTTTTTTTTCTTCATTTGTTTTGTTCTGGTACATCCTGAGGAACTTTTAAATCAGTCAACAGGGGATGTCACTAAATGTAAAAATGGTCAAATGTGTTCCAGACTTTGAAGAAATTCTTGTATACCTGTCAGAAAACCGATTGGAATAATTTTATTAAATGAAATAGAGATGGAATACGGTAGAAAAGAGGGTATTCTTCAAAATTCATGCCGGCCAGAATTGAATATTTTTTCCTCAAACATTCAAACATCGACTGCCCTTGCTGGTGGGGCTCTAAACAGTTCGGCTAAACTCAGGAACCAGATTGTCTTCAAACTGCTGACTCCATTTCCAAGAACGAGAATGAACAAAAAGCACTCCGTCTGAGTCAGATAAATCAATCGGAAGATGTCAGGAAACCAGCTTTTAATCATAGACCGACACCGTCTCACCAACATGGCCGCCACAGTGAAGACATAGTGACTTTTTAGCTCAAACTAATCTGTTCAACATATCAATAAGCATCTTCTGGAAAAACTGACTAAAAGGCAAAACTAATAAAAAAATAATTAGGGCACATTTCATGTCTTCATTCAGTTTTACGCAATCAGATATTGGAGCTCAGATTATGACTGATCTTTGATCAATCACTCTATCAGCTTCAACTTTTGCCCTTCCGACTGCAGCCGTGTGACGATCTGCCTGCACTAACTTGTCAGACAGCTAAAGCTGCAGGAACTAACACTGATCTGGACTTCTGGTTGCAGCCGAAAGCTGCTTGCTGCTCCTTTATGTCCATGTGGAATGACTTCCTCATTGAAAACAGTTTCAGTCTGAGTTAATTCACAGATCATTATCCCGATCTGTGAAATAAAAGCCTCAGCCATTCTGCGGATACGTCATGATGCTTATGAATATTTATTATCCAGGATCCATCTCCTTCATTAAGAAATATCTCTGTCACATGACCTATAATATATATTCCAACAGTCAGGCAAAAGCACATCCTGTTCCAGTTGCAATGAGGCACGGTGACTGTTGAAGAGCCAGAAGATCTAAAGAGTTTTATTTTTTTAAGTCTAGAATGTTTTCATTCTTTAATCCAATTTAATTTTAGATTAGCACTTTTACTGGCACTAAAATGTATAAATGAAATGAAATTCTGACAGAAAATAATCTCATTTTATTTAAAGAGGCAATGCTTATCTCATCACCTGCAATTATTTGCTGCGTTTGAATTTTGATTGTTTGTAATATGAGCGATTTCTGTAAGAATGTGTTGATAAATCGAGCTGACAGGAGAACCGAGACGTGCTGATTAAATTCATCCTGATTTTCTGAGGAGAAAAATACTAAAGTTCCTGCTTGTTGTTGGTGACATGGTGGTCGTCATCTTATCCGCGACCAGCAGGTGGCAGTAATTATCAGGAACAGTTGGTTTAATCAGTATTAAATTAACTTGAACATACTTGGGGCTGAAATAGAGTCTGATTTTAATAAAACACCAATAAGGGCAGCAACTGAACCACTTGAACATGATTTTCTTTGAGTAAAAATATACATAAATAAATACAGAAAAAAGTAAAAGTAAAAATAAAGTGTTACAATAGACATAAGTTAAAAACTAATAAAAATGTTTGCAAAAATATTATTTTTTTACATTTAAATTTTCTTTTTTTTTTCAACAATCTGATAAAATGTCATACAGTTTAAATTTATATTTTAATTGAAAATGTATTCTTCCTGTAATATCCTGAGATGTCTCCTGCTGTGAGTCAGAGTCTCATAAATGAACTGGCTGATTAACTGCACATGCCCAGTGAGGATGTGTCTCTGTGTGGGAAAAGGATTTAGATAATGTACCTCCACATAACACTCCAACAAGAAAAATGATTGAATCAAAAGTTTAATTAATCGCATGTCAAATCTGCATCCGATTTATCATCTGAATCATCTCATTTATGATGCAGCTGAATGGTTTAGGAGCTGCAGCAGATCCTGCTGCTGATTGATGATCCGACTGAGTTTAATCAGGACTTTCAGGATCCAGTACAAAACTGTTTTTTTTCGCAAGATATTTTAGGTAAATTAAATTAGAGTTAATGTCCCTCCTCTGGACTCTTCACAGAGAGTGTATGGAAGTGAAGCGTTATGCAAAAGAAATGAACATGGTAGCAGGATTCATCTTTTGTGGGATTTGTCTGGATTACCTCTGATTGAACCACTAACCAGAGCTCCCAGTTTTACACCTGAGTGAGGACATTTAACTGGTCTGAAAACGTCAACAGCAACGCTTTCACTGGCAGAAGGAGCCCCAGCAGCTGCTGGACGACGCTTGCTCGCTCGCTCGCTCGCCGCAAACTCGGCCTGTTTGCTCAGTTTGCAGCCTTCAGCCTCAACACACAGAGGAGAAAAAGAGAGGGCGAGCGACACTTACTTACATCTGCTATCTCTCTCTCTCGCTCCCAGGTTTTGATGCTTTCAGACCAATTTTTTGGAGTAAAATATCTTAAAAACTCACCTGAGCAATTTCAGAGATCACCTCCCTCCGATCAGAGCTGTGTCATTCTGAGTGTGAGTGTGTCGTCAGAGCCCCCTGCGAGATGGTGTGTGTGTGTGTGTATGTGTGTGTGTGATCACATCATATCAAACTCCAAAGGTTCACTGTCCTGGTGTTAGCTTTACAAGCTGCAGGTTGTTAATGTTTAACCTGCTGCTATCTGTGGACACACTGAGGGAGTCCTGTGTGTGTAGGTGTGTGTGTGCGTATGCGGGTGTGTGTGTGTGTGTGTGTGAGCATCAAGAGGCCTTTGACCGACAGGATCTGGATCAGAGGCCTCTCCAGCTGCTTACAGATGTTGTGAGAATCATCTTGCTAGGGCTTCCAAAATCTTCCTGATCAAAAGTATTGATAAGACTATTGATATTGCATTCAAAATGGAGTCAGCCTTTGGTATATTAGAATAACACAGTGTGGGATAAAAGTGTTACATTTAAGCATGTTTTGGCTCCATCGCTTGTTTTTTGTGTCGTAATAATTCATTTCGATCATTTACTCGGCTCATATTCTTATTTGTGATCAAATAACGGTGTAAAACGAAGAAATGAGATGCAGAAAAAGAAAAGAATAGAATGAAACAATTGAAGAGTCAGCCAGTGTTGTGGACTTAATGTCTTTTTTGTTTGTTTGTTTTTTAAGTATTTGAACAGATGTTAGACTATAATCACCACTGCTCCCAACAAATTCAATAGATGTCATCCTTTGCTAGTATTTGCAGTTTTCCCAATTTTAAATAACATTTATGTTGTTTGCACAGTTTTCATTTTTCACATATTGTAAATGGTCTGTTCTCTTTTAATCCACAAATCCTTCTCAGTTGCACATTCCTGAGATCAGAGTACCTGTTTCTGATAACTGCAAAGTATTTTCATGTTAATAGCTTGTTCTTACTGTACAGTATATATGTCTTTGTTTTTTGTCATATATTCTTAATTCTTTATCTTTGAAATGACATGTCTGCTGTTAACACCTGAAATTTCCCTCTATTCTATTCTATTCTATTCTATTCTATTCTATTCTATTCTATTCTATTCTATTCTATTCTATTCTATTCTATTCTATTCTATTCTATTCTATTCTCTGTCCAATGAATCAGCCTAATGTGAAACACAATGCCAAAATCAAAAGAAGAAATAGAAAAGCTCAATTAAAAAAAAAATTAGACGTAAAATTAATTATGGTTGCATTATGCCCCATGAATGTTCTGGTAGGTTAAACAAGTCTGAATATTCTGAATGCCATCCTGTCAAATTTGTTTTAATATTTCTTTAGGCTGCAAATTTAAGTTAAACAGGTATAGACAGGTAATCCAAAATGCTTCACTGGGAAAAGAGATTAAAGCATGATTTTAGATTCCATAAGGAATCAGGTGAGAAGTGATGGTGTTATCAGGCATTTCATCCCTCGCCACTGATGTCATGAACATAACAACTTTGCTTCCCTTGTGTGGGAGGAAACAGTTTATAGAAACTGATTTCTTCACAAAATGTGGATGTTAACATAAGTTTTAAAATACATGTCATTTCTGAAATGCTGAGAAAAATGACGTGTTCACACATGACGTGAATGAACTTTAACCTTAACTTTCCCCCCCTGCACACTAAGAAGACTTTCAATTCATGTCTTTTGTTCAAAACTTTGAACACTTTTGCTTACATTTTCATTTTGAATGGAGGACTTCAAGTCCTCTTCTCAAAACTTACAATGATTGCACTCAAAACTTCTCGCGCCCAGACTGCTCGAACTCTCTGCTTGCTTTTGGAAACAGCTTTTGGAACAGTCGGCTGGCAACCTCTCAGCCAATAGAAAGAAAGTGTTGTACTGGGGGCGTTTGTTTCCTTCTAGAGGGAGCGAGTTGGTTGGGCGAACAATCACCTGCCAAAGATCAGAGGCTGTTTGCAATCAGTGGCACACGTCTGGCGGATGCTTATGGAGCAGAAAGCTGATGTCGTTGTTTCTCCCTACATCCAGTGGTTGCTACAATCGATAGTAGCCTCACGGGCACCCGCTAGAAGGATTATGGCAGGAAAATTCCTCCATAGAAGACCTGTTCATTTGAGGAAAAACACACTTTCTTAACGCTTTACTACAAAACAGCCCACAGATGGCAGCAAAACACAAAGAAGAAAAACTTGGTTAGTGTTTTATAGACAATTATTTTCAATATTCAACCTATTTAAACCTACAGATTGTCAGTTTTTCATTCTTTAAGAAAACATTATACTATATATATATATATATATATATATATTATATATATATATAATATATATATATATATATATATATATATATAGTAGTTGTCTTTTCCAAAGGTCTTTTAACATTAGCGACTTTTAACAAGTTTTATTTACCTGGACTGAAGAGGAATGAGTCTTTGGATTATTATAAAGCTTGCAGATCCCTATCAAAAATAATAAATAAATCATTTTTCTCTGCAGTGACCCATGTCATCCGAATGTGTGCAGATCACACAGATTATTGGTTTTGGCGCAGTTAAAGCGACAGGTTTAAATTGCGGCTGGAGGTCTTCCTGCATGGAGTTTGCTTGTTGCAGACTCTAGTCCATTTCCGCAATCCAAGACAATGACTTCTAAGCCAATTTAATTTTTCATAAATGATTCAGATCAATTCACCCACCTGCCCCCAAAGTCAGACTAAATCAGCAAATTTAGTTTAATTAAATTTCTGATAAACACAGGATGTTGGGAGTAGACAACAGGTTCGGTTTGAATCAGTTTCGTTCCATGAGCATCATGTTCAACAATAATAAAATAATAAAAACAATAATATTAATAATAATAATACAAAGTTCTTCCAGATTTTGTCTCCTGGTTGCAATGACAGTACGTCTCCAGAAGAGGGCGAGCACCGATTACAGTCTTGCATCCGTCCGCGATGCCTCTTTTCTGATCAGAACATTATGAAATATGATCCCTAGCAGCAAAAAGCAGCAATAATAATAATAATAATAATAATAATAATAATAATAATAATAATAATAATAATAATAATAATAATGTTCTGTGTGAGATCAGGGAATAAAAGTCTGTTTTCGGGTGGATTCGCTGTAATTTCCTCAAATGTCTCTGCAGCAGCTGCAGGGCCATGCTGACAGTCTGAACACAGCAGGACAAACACTGATGCCAACACAGAAGCTTTATATAAATAGAGAGAACGGACCAGGCTCACAGTTCTGGTCTGAACTGGACCCGTCCTTATCTGCGGTCCAACACGTCTATTCAATGCAGTTCGGAGGAGATTTACAGGATGAATCAGACTTTGAACGTGAACCGGGTTCTGTTTTTTTATTTATTTATTTATTATACCTCCTGTTTTTATTTCACATGAAAAAATATATAGCTATATATATAGGCTATATATATAGAAATATATACTGTCAAATTTAAACACTTTTAGAACAGTTAGATTTTTAACTTTTGCTAAAGTCTCATGAGTTTGAAAAAGGGCGTCGTTCATCGGTTGTTATCCATTTTAAATTTGCACGTGAACGCACCTCTTGAAACTTATTAATCAACATGTCATCTCATCTGTTTTCCTGAACATCCATCCCTGTGGCCACGGCTTATTCCTGCAAAATAAATAAATAAATAAATAAATAAATAAATAAATAAATAAATAAATAAATAAATAAATAAATAAAAACATTTTTGGTTGGTTTAAGATGAACATTTAGATAGTTTTTCCCCCCTCCATCTGTGCATAGAAAACTTTAACTGAAGCAGCACAGGTGACTAGCAGCAGTAGGACAGGTGATGAAAAGGTGCGGAGGCAGTCTCTCTCTCTCTCTCTCTCTCTCTCTCTCTCTCTCTCTCTTTCCGCTCCGACCTCCACTGAAGCTCCAACTGTTTCGGATTAAACTATTCACACTGGAAGTGGATCATCGCTCCGGTCTCGCGGCTCCTGTTTTCCGGCGTTTGTCTTCCCTTGGCTTCCTGTCTCTTGTTTCCAGGTGCGACTGGAGCGCGTCTTTTTCTTTCTTTCTTTGTGTGTGTGTGCGCGTGTGTGTGCGTGTCGGGAATGAAGTGTGCGCTACTGGATCCCCGCGCCTCCGTTTTCACACTTTAATCCAGCGGCGGCTGTTTGGTTCCTTATATCCCAGCGGACATAAACCCGGATCAGCCCTGAGGGATTCTCATTCTCCCCAGACTGATTGGAAACTTTGTGTTAGTTGTTCGCTGGATTTCTCCTCACGTCTTCAGTTTTTTTGTTGTTGTTGTTGTTGTTTTATTTATTTCACATATTCAGAGGAATCCTGGATCCAAATATCCTTTTTTTTTTTTTTTTTAAACAAAAACAAATAAATGAGGCGGTTTGTTTTGATTGGATGTAATCAAGTGTGACTCACAGGAGTATCTACTGTTATTTGATCTGCTTTCCAGAGTTTTTTTTTTTCCTTGTGTAAAATCACTGATTCCATCCAACCTCAAAGCGCCACAAGAACAATTTAAGCATTCATATAGTGGGACTGGTCCACTTTTTATTTGTTCCTCTTTCAAACGTTCCCAGACATGTAATATATACAAGGGAAACTTTGGGAACTGCCCGAAGGCACCCAGGCATTTCAAAATGGAATGGATTTGGACCAAGAGCAAACACATGTTCCCTGACAAGTGAAAAAGACAAAGAAAAATGTTGTTAAAGACTTTTAAAAGATGAGACTGGTGTAAAGGGTGAAGAACTCTGGAGTTTTAAAAGTTTTAAGCCAAAAGAAACATTTGGAAAGTTCCTGAAAGTGCTTTGTCCTCTGGATGTTCCTGGGAAAATCTGGAGGAGAGTTTCACACAGAGAAGTTCCCACACAACAACTGAATCCTAAAACTCAGGGAGGGCCAAAACAAGAGCTGGCAGGGCAACGGTTTCAAGCTAAACGAGGAACCCAGAGACTTCTCCCGCGAACCTGGAGATCCCAAAGTGGTCAGGCAGCGGCGGACGTTGAGCCTCGGACCCGACGTCCTGCCGGGACCGGCTGAGGGGACCCATGGGAACGCTGCGGGACCTGCAGTACGCGCTGCAGGAGAAGATCGAGGAGCTGCGGC